CTGCAAACTATGTTTTCTCCCCTCCCCCAAGGGGTGCTTCCGGCAACTTCTATATGACATCAAAACCAATGCAGTCGCTGTGGGTGCTGTGGCAGCTGGAATTGGGGGCCTAGAGGTAAGCAGATGAGGAGGCTGGGGCTGGGATGTGGCCAGCAGACCAGGGCTGCTTGACACATCGCTGAGACTTCTTAGGAGGAAACAAGACTTCTAACAGAACTTCCTGTAGCAAGATTGGGGGCAAGGGACCAATGCTTCAGGATCCCAGTCACATCTCCTTTTCCCTCTCCACCAGTTGGCTGCCATGATTGTGTCCCTGTACGTGTACTGCAATATCAAATAAGTCTGCTTCTGCCTCTGCTGCTACTGCTGCATGTGAGAACTGGAAAGAGGTACCCTGGCTCTGCCAAGAAGCAGTGACCAGGGTAGGCACAGGACTTAACAGTGTCACTTGGGCCAGTGGGCCTGCCCTTTCTGACCCAGACTTGGGGTTAAATAGAGACCACCCTTTTAGGCTGTGCCTGACTTTTCCTTCCATTGGTAGGGCTGTGGCCCAGCTATTCCAGAGCCTCTAAATAGCCAGTTCTCCTGCCCTTTTCCCCAGTTTCTTCCTAAACCCTGGCCATCCCCTATGCCAAGGAGGGTTCTTGGTGATCCCAGTCAGTACTCCACTTGGTGATTAAAAAAAAAAAAAATGGCACCTTGTAGACTGGACATACGTGAAATCAGCAGAGCCACCAGGCAATTATGTAGAAGGCAATCATAACCCATAAACCAACTGAAATGTTTTCATTTGAAGTCTGTGTATTCTTGGGGAAAGGGCCCTCATCTTGCCTAAACTGGCCTCAGGTCCTGTGGGGCTACCAACTCAGAAGCCCAGAAAGACAGCAGCCAGGTAGTGGGGTGAGGGATGGTTATTTCTCCCCTTCATTTGAGTTTCAGGCCTGACGGATGACCAAGAAGGCATGACAAGTGTGGGGTGAGCCATTCTGCCTTTTTGTTGTTGTTGTTTTGAGACAGTCTCACCCAGGCTAGAGTGCAGTGGTGTCATACCTCACAGCAACCTCCAACTTTTGGGCTTAAGCAATCCTCTTGCCTCAGCCTCCCAAGTAGCTGGAACTATAGGTGCCCACTACAATGCCCAGCTAGTTTTTCTTTTCTTTTTTTTTTTTTTGAGACAGAGCCTCAAGCTGTCGCCCTGGGGGTAGAGAACTATGGCATCACAGCTCACAGCAACCTCCAACTCCTGGGCTCAAGCAAGTCTCCTGCCTCTGCCTCCCAAGTAGCTGGGAC